CCTGCTATTTGAACGTACTCTCTGTCACCCGGAAAATCCTTGGGCAGCTTTTAAAACAATTCCAGTCTTTAATTGTTGTCCTTGTTACTCATGATAAGCTGTTGTCTAGCTCATAAATTACACATCATTCATCTCGCCTGCTTCGTCAAAAACCCCAGTCAACATATTTGTCTGCTTCACTTGTGAAATGTGCTAAGTTGTATATGACAACAGGAGGATAACCCAATTTCTGCCTTCAGAATGAAAAGGTTTATCTCGGTTGGGGTTGGTTGGCTTTGGGGGTCTTTTTAAGCACTTGAGAGGTATCCAGCATTGCCGTTGTTCCTTGGAGACATCTCACCTGATGAGACACATGTGTTCGTGTGCCTGTGCTGACAGCTCCTCTTGGCCATCCCTCTGGGCAGCGTCGGCGTTTTCAAGGTAGGGGCCAGAGGTCTGTTTGCAAAAATCAAAAATAGAAGAAAAAAACAGGCAGTTAGCTACCTCAGGGTTTCTAAATGCAGGCACCAGTGTGCCGCCTGCATTGGGTTTTGCAGGCACCCACTTTGTCCATCCAGGCTGGCTTTACCTTTGGAAAACTGCGACTGTTCCCAGTACATCATTAACAGCTTCAGGAGCTCCACGTGCCTCGCTAGTGGTTGAAATAACCCAGCTGTCTGTCAGGGGTTAGGTTCAAAGTAAAGGCAAGAAGGTCCTTCATGCGGTACGGTGTTACGGGTGGATCTGTTGCCACCAGACATGAAGGGTTTAACAGTTTGGAGGGATCCAGAAGCGATTGAGCAGATTTGTGACAAAGAAATCCGATGAGCACTTATTAAATTGACAAACATCACCTCTTTCTCAAGCCAGAAACCCCCAGGTTCTGGGGTAGTATTGGACCTATTCATAGCACAGCACAGGTTTCAGCCTTGGAAGCAGGACCCGGCTATATTTGGTGCTATATTTATCTGCAGGCGCTTGGCACATGCATCAGCTGTGCTGTATGGCAGCAAAATCGTATAGGTTAAGTAATCCTACGTTAGAAGGTAGTTTCACATCCCACCTTCATTCAGCCTCTCACCCAAGAAAAAGAGTCCCATAATAAAAATTGGAATTTTCTGCTTCGGGGATGCTGGCAGCTCCCATCCGTTCCCAGTACAGGGCTCACAGGGCTGGGATGGGAGCTGGCTCCTTAGGGTGCTCACGGTCAGTTGCTATTTTAGCTTATCGCCAAAATATGTCAGTGCAATGACAGCAACAGGCAGGACAGTGATTTGGGGGAGTTTCAAAGCAGCAAGGTGGAGTTTCTAATTTGGGGGCTTTCTATATGCTCAGATTTGCCTGCTGCACATATCAATAGTTTTGCCATCCCGTAGAGCAGCGAAAGCCTTGTGACCGAAACCATCAGGCATCCTTGAAGCAGCACCCGGGGGAACTAATGAGGCTGTAATGTCATTAGTGCCTGTGACCCCATACACCACCGCAGACAGTGTCCCGGGACCCTGCGACGTGGGAGCCCAAAACGGGGCCACATCCTAACCGCGGCTGACCGGGGGGGGGCTTGGTCCGGCAATGAAGGGTGAGACATCCCAAATGATGGGGAGCTGAAGCGGAGGCTCCTGCGTTCGGGGAGAGGGTGGAGAGGGGCTTTGGGGGGTCTCTGGCCCCTCTCCCCCTGCCCAGAGGCAGCTCCAGCTTTCCTTCTCCCACACCGCTCTCTCCAGATCCCTTTGTTTTCTGGCAGATAGGATTAAGCCTGACCTTCCGCCCTGCCTCGGAGAGAGCCAAACCTCTTTCGGATCTAATTATTTTCCATTTTTGTTTAATTGTGTACATCCTGCTGCTGGCTGAGAAGGAGAGAGGCTCCTGCCCGTGCCGGGGCAGGGAAGGACGCCCGGCCCCTCGCCAGCCACGGGCTTTTGGATCAACACTCCATCTTTTGGGCTTGTGATTTCAAACCCCCCCAAATCTCTTGGAGGTCTGAGGCAAGTTTCCCAAGAAGCGGCTCTGGCACCATCCTGTTTTTCCAGTGGTGACCTTCACACTCAGCCTGCCCCTGTGCGAGGAAGAGGAGTCTGGCCATGGCCATCTGCCTTCCCCATCCTCCTCCTCCTCCCCTGCACCCAGTTTGCACCAGGCTCTGCTTTTTCTGCATGTGTTTTGCTACCTAGTTCCTATGTACAAGTGGCACCAACTTCTTCTAGCGGTGCATTGCATGCCTTTTTTTAATTTTTGCTTTCTGAGTGTATCATCTGGGCTGCTGCAAAATCCCACAGCCTCTCCCCACAGGTGGTGCCGGGCTGGGATTTGGCTGAGCCGGCCTGAAAGCGCTGCCGAATCGTTCCAACGGCAATGATAAAATGTGGGGGTGATAAGGGAATGGATGACATCCCCCTGCAAGAGGAGGGGGAGAGAGAGGGGACAAAGAAATCAGATTAAGCACGACAGGAAGCTTTGCCTGTCCCAGTTACATCTGCATATGGAAAATACAGAGATGCTCTGGTGGACCTTGAGTCCCACTCAGCTCATGTATTTATTACAGCTTCACTTAGGTTGAGCGTTGCTTTTCCAAATCTCATTTTTTAGCACCAAAACAACCTCACAGCATCTCCGCGGGCACAGGAGCGCACCCGCAGTAGCAAAAACTCGCTTCTGCTGCAAACGAAGCGGTTCCTTCTCCACCCAAGCTGTGCCACGCCACGTCCCTTGCACCTCTCGGCACAAGATTGCTCGGGCATGCCGTCGGGAAGCGGCTCTGGAGGAGGGCTGGGTCTGCAGAGAAGTAAATACCGCTGCAGAAAGTTCCAGCGAGAGCCGTCGGCGTTTCCAGCAAGCCATCTAGTGGCTTCCTATTAAAACGGTTGCACGCCTTGAAACTGGGAAGGCGAAGCCGGAGGGATGAGCGCTGCTCACCGCTGTAGTTGTGTCGGGGAACTGATGTGCGGGGTTTGGTCCTAACTGGGGAAAGGATCTACTGTAATAGCCCTCTTTTGGGTGGTGGGAGGGTTGGGTTAGCTGCGTGGGTCTTCACAAGAGCAAATGTGATGGGTGATCCTACAGGTGGACATCCAGATCTTCATTTCACTGGTGTGGGTTCGGTTACCCTAGCTCAAAAACACATGAAGGGTATAGGGATAATCAATGATTTAGAGCAGCTCCAGTGTGGACAGGAGACAGCAGACAGGGAGGGAGAATGTAAAGTTTGGGGGGTTTTTTTAATAACATGAGAGCTCAGGGCATCTTATTTGGTGAAGTTTTGGGCAGTGGGTGTAAAGTCCTTTTTCAGCAGATGGTTCCGTTGTGGCACCCTTAGGCACAGCCTGCTACAGGGACTGGAAGTTTGAAGGCTTCATAGAGGGATTTGGTAAATGCTGGAGGAGAGACTGACCTGGGGCTGGGAAGCGTCAGTCAGGTGGTTTAGGTAGATCCTGAGCTATCCTTGGCTGGTGTTTATATAAGCTGTTCAGAAAAACTTCCAGTGATGGACATTTCACAACATCCATAGGCAATCTCTCCCTGCACATCACCTGTAGGAGGTAGTTTCTTCACAGCCAACCTCATTCACCTTTGCTGCAATTGAAACCTACAGTCCCCAGGAGACATGGAGAGCCGCTTGTCCTCACCGGTCTTCACCTCTCAGACAGATGACAGGCTGGCTGGTGCAGTTTTTTATGTGCAGCATGGCATTTTGACCGATGTTCAGCCTCTGATGCTTCCTGACCCCAGGCTCTTCCCCGCCTGGTACTGCACAGTGATTTGTTCCTACCTGCATGCAGATGTTTGCACCTACTTGATGCAGCTGTTTTTTCTCTGACTTTTCTCCAGGTCTCAACATTGTCTGACTTCTAATCCAGTTTTCTGGCGTGTTATCATTTCTCCTAGCATGATACCTGCACATTGAATACATTTATCACATCACCCATATCACTGATGACATACTGGGTCATGTCACGGCCAGGACAAGTCTCCTTGCTCAGCACATCCTCCCAGTCTGACGGTGAATCACCAGTAACATCTCTCTCCATATGGTTTTCTGATGAGTTGTGTGCCCACATTAGAGTAGTTTCGCCTGAGCGTGTTTCTGTGGTATGCTGCTGAGGAAGCCATGTGCGGCAGCACCTAATGAATATCAAGATATACGGCGCTGACTGCTTCTCCAGCTATTCACAGCCCAGTTACTCTGTCACAGAAGGAAATTAAATTATTCTTGACAAATTGGTGTCGGCAGTCACTTATCATCTTCTTATCTTCTAAGTGCTTACAAAGAGGTTGTTTCATTATTTGTTCCATCAGTTTTCTAGGAGTTCGAGTTAAGCGACCAGTTTGTAATTCCTTGGCTTTTCCTTTTGCATATTTTTAAAGCTAAACCCTATGTTTGCTTTTTTTCTGGTCTTCTAAAACCTCTCCTATCTGCCCTGAGCTAACAGAGGAACAATGAGTAGTTCTGCGGCTGCTTCAGCTGAGCCCTTCCCTCAATACCTTTGGGGCAGCTTATCACACCAGGCTGGCGGATGGACCAACACCCTGGTTTGGTTATTGCCCTCCTGCTGGGATGCTTCTTCCCTTCACCCTCTGTGGCTCTTGCCTGTGTTAGCTCATTTGAATCTTGACCTTTTCCATTTTCCAACCAGGGCTTTTAAAAGGTTAGGTTTACCCACCAAGTGTTTTTGTGTAATCTGCAACGATACAGAAAATTTGGGCCAAATCGTGACTTTGATTAACATTAGGACAACAGCAGTGGAGCTGTGTGGCTGTAAAGGTGGGTGTAATTTGGCTTTTTTAGTGATTTTCAGGAGCATCTGGTAACTCTCGGTGTCCAGTTTGGCACACCTTGCTGTGACCTTGCTTTTCAGAGAGCGGTGACCCCCCTGCCTGGGAGATGCTCACGCAGTAGCATCACTCATGCAGGCATCCCTTTGGCGTGTCGTATTTACCTTGCCAGGGTGAATTTATTTCTTTATTAGCTCTGTTTGCCGATTTCTCAATTCTCTTCTTTTTTTTTTTTTCTATTACTTCAACAGGAATCATTAACCAATGGCAACAGGAATCCAAGGATAAAGTGATTTCTCTATTGTTAACCCACCTGCCTTTACTGAAGCCCGGAAACATCGAGGCAAAAGTCGAATACATGAAACTCTTGCCTAAAATCCTGGCCCACTCGATCGAACACAACCAACACATTGAGGAGAGCAGGCAACTGCTGTCCTACGCCTTGATACACCCTGCCACCTCCTTGGAGGACAGGAGTGCCCTGGCCATGTGGCTCAACCACCTGGAGGACCGCACGTCGGGTGGCTTCGGCAGCCAGAACAGAGGTCGGTCGGATTCGGTGGACTACGGGCAGACGCATTACTATCACCAAAGACAAAACTCTGACGACAAACTCAACGGATGGCAAAACTCTCGAGACTCGGGCATAAGCGTCAGCGCTTCCAGCTGGCAGGACAAAAACCTGGCGTGCGAGAATGGCCATCTACCCCTCTACTCCTCCTCCTCCGTCCCCACAACCATCAACACCATCGGCACTAGCACAAGCACCAGTAAGTACCCACGGGAAGCTCTAGGGATGGCCACCCATGGCCGCTTTTCACAGCACAGTCCCCCCCATCCCGCTAGAAAATATTGCTTTGCCGTGGTTAGCAGAGGGGCTAGGTTCATCTGGGCCATAGAAAACTCCTTTTTTTTTTTTCTTTCCCCTACCTGCTTTTTTATTTCCTGCCTGCCTTTTTATATTTTTTTGTCTCTAGTCCTGTGGGATTTTAAAGACCTGGCAGCTGGAGAGGAGGGAAAAACAGCCAAGCTGTAAGAGCAAAAAATGTGCGCTATCAAAGGGAGCCCTTTTTATTTGATGTAGCTCCATGTAGATTTGCAGTTCATGTTTCAAGTGTTCCTAAAGCAGGCAGGGAGCTGATGCTTCATGTCCAAAAGTGAGCTGAGGAACTTGAGGCAAGTCCAAAAATGACCTGGGGACTTACTGGGAGGAAATGGGATTGGGGCCCTGAAGCGCAGGCATTGTTTTTGGAAGCAGGGCTCGGATCCGCGGTCTTCAGGGCATATCTGAAAATGTTCCCTTGTATCTGCAGCGCTTAGAGGTGTGGAGCTGATGGTGATCGGGGGGTTTAGATGCACAGTCCTCAGTGTTTTCCAGGAGAGTTGGGTAGCTCCTTCCCCACAGAGGCCCTGCCGGGCTTTGATGGGAGCGGTGGATGACGCAAAGCCCAACCCAAGGCTTGGACACTCCGGGATGCCGCGGAGCACCGTGGCTGGAGATTTATCACTGGTTTTGTGTGAAGATGTAGTGCAGCTGTAACTGTTCTTTTAAAGTGGCCGTTGATGCCTGTGAGCCATCCTTGGGCGAGGAGGAGCAAAGCATCTTCTCAGCGGGGTTCAAGAGCTCCTCTGCCCACCCGTTCCCTCTGTGGAGGGCTGTCGCGCCTGCCTTGCTGTCACCTTGGGTGACTGCCACCATCTCACCTGCAAGGCTGGACGTCCTCCTTCACTTTGGGGCGTTCAGGAGATGGTTGGCATCTCCCTATACACAAGGGATGCCGAGAGCACTTCGGGGAGGAGAGGCTTCTTGCAGCGAGGGCGCTGGCTTCTCTTATCAGCGTGCAGAAAGACACAATTAAATAGCTGAAAGCTTTAAAATGGTCACTTAAGGCTTCTGGGCTTTTCTCTCTCCTGTAATAAGTGCTTTTTTTAGGTGGTGTTTCAAATCGACAACGATATGAAACGCAGCTCTGGGTTTATTGCTGTAGCACCCTGCTCCCTGCCTCTCCGGCGTCCATCCTCGCAGGCAGCGCTGCCTGCCCTGCCACGTAGGGATTTAGCAGAAGGGTCTCGGCTTCTCCACCGACTCTGAACATCATGCCCGTCCTGTCCCCTGTCTGTGAAGCCCCAGCTGCTGCTGCCATGGGACTGTGTGACGTTCAGCTTCTCCGAGAGCCGGGTCCCTGCGCTGCGGAGGAGAGCTGTTTCAGGGTGACCAAGCTGCATGGGAAAGGCTTAACAAGGAGGCAGGGTGAGAAGAACGGTGAATGTATTTGCAATTTGCAGTTTGCAAGAGGTTAAACCTCTCCAGAGACTGTTTGGGGGGAGGGTTCTTCCTTGTGGTTTTTGCATGCCGGGCAGTTTGGAGGCTTTGTACACTGGGGAGGCAGTGGGAAGAGATGACTTTGGAAGGGATCTGGTTCCTTACATCGAGATCTGGAAGCAGGGAGGTCTGATGGGTGCAGCACGTCAATCATTGACAGTGGCTGGAGCTCCACAAGATGCGTTAGGTCTTGAAGGACGCTTTTCAAAAACCCGTTTGTGTTTCTTTGAGCCTTTTTGCACTCAGATTTATCTCTCAGCAGAAGTAGCGACCCACCTCTTGCCCAGCAGGGTCCCCAAGTATTAGCAGAAGGTGCCAAAACCCAGGCAACAGCTGAATTACTCAGCAGTGCCCGAGCTGCCACACTGCTGGGGTTTTTCCTGAATTCTCCAGGATTAGGTGTGCACAGCACTGGAACAGGAGCATTTGTGGATCTGTCAGCAGGGGCTGTACAGCCCTGTACTTTACCCTGGTCTTTTGCTGGAAGACCACGTCCCTCCTCCATCTCTGTCACTCTCTTTGCCACGGCATCCCCTGCCGTAAGTCCCGGCGCGGGAGCCCTTGCCCAGTCCGGTCCTTTGCGGCATCCTGCAGTATCTGCTTTTCGTGGCACTGGGGCAGCTCGCTCGCACCGTCTTGCTCTGAGCTGCAAGATTTATAGAGTCCATATTCAGGGAAGCTTTTCCCCAGGCATCACGCCATGGCCAATACGTATTTCTGAGGCTGAGTAGCTTTGCAGAGGCATCCGAACACATCTTCAGCCCAGTCTAGTCCTAAATATTAAGCTGTTGTAACTCCTGCTAACATATTTTGGTGGCAGCATGTTCAGACGACCTGAGCACCGAGCTGGAGACGACCCGACCACACTTCATGTGTTAGTTCATAAACTTCCTTAACGCAATATTTGCTCAGACACAAGCATAGTAAGTCTACAGACAGATGCTAAAAAATAAACACGGCTGTCAGCCTTTGTCCCAGCCCCTTGAGTCAATCAATATGTCTATTAATCTTTTATTCCAAAGCAAAGCCCTCAAACCGTTACTGTTTGGTTAGGGTTTAGTGTTATTATTTTTAAATTCTCCCTCTTACTTGGAGGTGTTTATCTGGGCAGGGGCTTAATCCAGCAACACCCTGCAGGGCACAGCCTTCCCCAGCCCGTCCCCGCAAAGGCACAGTCTGTTCCTCATGCCGAAATGGGGCAAAGTCTTTCCCGGAGGAGTAACGTGGTGATCTTGCCCGAGGTACTTTCTTCTGGTATTGTGGCATAATTAGGTGTAACGCTATTACGGCATAGGTTTTAAAGATGGGTGGCTGGAGCTCACATGACAATTCGCTTTGCGCTGTCCTTGTCTTTGACTCGACCTAGACCCAGGCTTTGAGACTTGGTTCAGGCTTGGTTCATCTCCAGCTCTCTCTTAACGGTGCTAGCTGGTGTTAGCCAAGGCTTGAGGAGATGTTGCTGGAGTCCTCCAGCCTTTGCAGGGCAAGTCTGGAGAGCTCTGAAGGAGTCGCTCTGGATTTACACCAGTGATGGTGATCCAGGAGCGGGACCAGCATTGTAAGTGATGGGTTTGGGTCTGGAGCAATCTGAGGGTACGGACTCACCCAAAACGATGGAAGTTCATGTGCTCCTTCCCGTCCGCTGCATCACCGTAACTGCTTTCTCAGCCCGTCCCGCAGACCTTGAGCTGCAACTTTAAACCAAGCTTTAGCGTGCTGGGAGTAAAGGTAGCCTTGGCGTGGGCTTGGGAGCACGGGTGGGCAGGAGGCCAGAGCGGTGGGACGTCCAGGCGCGGTGGGACGGGGTGAAGCCCAGAGCTCTGCGGCCGGGTCAGGCGGCGGTTGCAAAACGCCAGGATTGCACAACTCCTTTGCAGTGGAGACAGGACCTGGCAACTCTGGAAGGACAGAAAACAGCAGCTGGCTTTCAAAGCTGCAGACCAAGAGCTTCTTGCATGAGAGCTCCAGCTCCTTCCTTTCCCCTGTGTAATTGGTTCCACCTGAGTACGATCTGACTGCATGCCGGGTTTTGGTTGTCAAATGGAAGTACAGTGTAGCTTAACCCCCTGTTTTCCACCCTCTCAGAAGGGAATATGTGCAGAGGAGAAGGAGGGTCTGCTGTTAAATATGCTTGTCCAGTGCTGTGAAGGTGGGGTGCAAGTACACCGGTCTGAATTGGACCGTAAGGTCTGCAAGCGAGAAAAGAGAAAGAAAAGCACAAGGTTCGGCAGGAGCGATAGCAACTCCAGTTGGCAATAGCGAACCTGTTGAACCACAGCTAAAGAGGTAAGGATTTGGTTCCTGGCTCTGACATGCATCTGCTGGATGAGTGTCCTGGTCCTCTGCTCCCAGTACATAACCTGGGGATGACAGTATTACTTCTTTTATCAATGTATGGTGAGATTTTCCTGTGCTCTTACCTCTGGTGTGGTGCCAGGGCACTTAAACTCCCCGTGGAGAGCAGGTTCCCACGGGCAAGTCTCTGCACAGGGGCAGAAGGTCTTGGTTTTACTGCGGGAGCAACAGTAACTTGCCCCAGACATTCAAATTAAGAGCCAGATGTTGCAGGCTCTTTCTGGCAGAGGAACGAAGACCTCCTTATGCCAATACCTGCCCAGAAGAAGAGGCAGCTCAGTGCCAAGCGCGGGCAGCACTTCAGCCAGGGTGAGTGTCTCCAGTTGTCACCTTGCCTGGGGGACAGGAGCTCTGCCCAGCCTCTGTAGGGGCTGTAGTGCTGCCGTAACGCAACGGCACGTCAGGTTCCCCGGTGGGGGATGGCCCCGGAGAAAGTAAGCAGAGCTTGGTCTTACTGGAACCTTGTGTGTCTAGGAGACTATCTCCTGTCTGTGCTTCCAAAAAGAGGAGGAGGTCCCCGGACTGGTAATGGTGGTATCTGAGCGCATGACCGGCGGTGCCCCGCAGTCCTGTCCTTGGGTGAGCACCCAGTGTGTCCCCAGTGTGTGCCCTGGGTCGCTCGGAGTGGCACCAGTGCCTGGAATTATGGTGTGGGTGGCACCAGGGGACGAGGTGATGGTGTGCATCACAGATCAGTGATGGACAGGTAGGGTCAGAGACCTCGCAGAGCAGAAATCCCAGGCACTGGGGCTGTGTTCATAGAGGAGAGACGTCGCAAACTCTTTGGTATTTCAGTGTTGCTGAGCTGCCTGGATTCCCCTGTGAGTGAACAGAGAAGTCCTTGGACCAGCAAAGCTGTTTTCCAGTCTGCAGCCACCCTTCTGCTTCTGCACAAATGGGAAAGATGCCGGGTGCTCAGGCCTGCTATACCCTTCCCATGGGAGTCTCTGCCAGAAAACTGATGTTGTTTGTCTACAAGAAGAGAGAGGAGAGCGAGCAGGGCAATGCAAGAGAAATACTCTCTTGTATAACCTCCTTGTCCTGAAAAAGAAAAATCTCTGATCTTGTCCTAGAGCTGAAGAGAAGGAATAA